CAGCATCCCTTCCCCCTTACAGGGTTAGTCCTATCTGGGCAGATGTGGACAGAGGATGCCATCCTGTCGAGTTCTCCTCTTACACCAAAGGTAACAGCTGGAACAACCATATGATAAACCAAAACACACACAGAGAAGGCCAGACGTACACCTCGGAGATGAGACAGAAGAAAGCAGCTCAACAGACACATCCACCAGCGCTGTTTTCTATTTTTCCGTTCCTCCACCCTGCCACGCAGCAGGCCAAGAACAGCTCTGTTCCCCTGAGCACACTACACTCAGGCATACCCTTTCACCACCAATAACGCAGGAGCACTCATCACTCCTCATCACTTACTCCTTGACTCAAGACCTGCCCCTTCTGGGACTTCCTTGAGGTCCTTCTTACTGTTAGAGCAGCTTCTGCACGTCAGCGAGGAGTCTGAAGTGACGGATCCTGAGTATGTGGGGTATGCGTCCATGAAGTTAAACACTAAGACAGCTTCAGCAAACTTAAAGAGAATCTCCGACACATTAAAGATCAACACAGCATTCTTCTGAATGAGCCACACAATCTGGCAGTGCTCCCTCCAACATCAGTATCAATTTCCTCCATCAACAGCAGACGGAATAACTGCAACTTCCTCTCTATAATGCAGCCCTTAATCGTCCCAGATCAAATACCAGTTCCCAGAGGCTATTCATTCTGCTCTACAGGTAACCATGTTCTAGACAAGAGGCAACAACTTTTATCAGCCAATGTTAAATGCTGCAGGAAGCCCAGAAGGCGCATATGGAGGCTGCTAATAACATTAATCTACCACATCACTGCAGTGGCTCTAACTGAACACGCAATACATTGCTGAGCGCTACGTGGGTACTCCAGTGACCAGAAAACACTTGCGAGCTCGTGCTCACTGAGAGACAGCAAATCCATACAACCACTGTCAGATCAGGTTTCCCCCCGCCCCGTATCAGCTCCACGACACCTCTGATCCCCCTCCTAATGACAAAGTCTTCATTGATTTCACCAGAACTCAGCAAGACCTAGCAGAAAATGAACTAAAGAAAAGAGGGAAATGTCAAGTGAGTCATTAGCGGGTAGAGAAAGGAACTGTGTAATAAGTAGTCTTCAACACACTTTTCCTCCTTTAAAATAAACGATGCCACAAATTGAGGGAATCCTTTGACATTAGTGAAGCTGCAGCAATAACGAGCCCTGCACAGTCTGCAGGAGTGAGGAATTCCTTGACTCAAAGGGATTACTTATGCCAATAAATACACAGGTAAAATTAACCTGCTTGTTTGGAAATCTCTAGATCGGAGTTCAGACCCAAAAAGAGAGAGGAGCCAGCAAACCAGCACCAAAACAGAAGATTTTTCCCAACTTCTAACAGCTAGGAAAATTCCTTTATTTTTTCATCTTTTGGCCGCCAACGTTACGACCTTTGTGTTGAGCAGGAGCTCAGATGCTGAAGTGGGAGGAGAATGTATTTCCCACCATTAGTAGGAGCAGGCAAGGTCCCACTATGTTTTTAACTCTTACAGCACAGACATATTTTCTTTTGAACATCCTTTGGTGCGTACTTCCATGCATGCATCTTTTTTATTTGATTTGCCCTCGGTTACCACAACACAGCCCTTTTCCTAGGGCTGGTTACTACAGCAACAGAATCTGTTTGAGTTTGGTAGCAACACATTGCAGGCATCAAAAAATATGCTGTTAGCTCAAGAATCATGAAACTACATGTCAGCAGCCCATGCCACAAAGATATCTTCCCGGAATATCTCACCTCTGCCTCTCTAATTACGAAACTATGAATCCCCGTGTCTCTGGCAGACCACAAGCCTGAGCAACCTCTGCCTTCAAAAGATGCACAACAGAGGCGCATTGCCCAGCATCTCCTGTGTGCCTGGCATGGCAGAGAAACCACAAAGAGCCCCGTTTGATGGACTTCATGGCCAGAAGTCTATTAGATTCCATGAGATGTTATTGCTTGCACCAGAAGTTAAAGCCAACATTTCACTTTAAATCCTATATGGTATCGCATCTGCGCTCTTCTGCATATACATATTATTACTAATAAAATTATTTTTCAAAAGAAGGTTTGGGGGCGGGTTGTGGTTGGAGGAATCTTCCTGTATTGTCATTTCACTGCAAAGAGGCTGTATTAGACATTACATGAAGTGACTCCACTGAACTCTTGTCCAACTCGGAAAAAAAAACAACCTCTCAGTGCACTGGGTTATTTCTATCTAATTCACTGCCTTGGGACACAAGAGGGGTTTTATTGCAGGAGGTAAACAATTACTAGCACTGAGCTGTCAGGTGAGAGGCTGCTTCTTCCCCCCCAGCTACAAAACAGCCCAAACGCAGTATATACGCACTCAACATCAGCAATATACTGAAGACAGCACGGACTGGTCAACCTGATCATTTCTCAGCCACAGCCAGCCATGATGGAAAGTTCGGCCAGACTATTACCGCTGTTATTAATTAGTTTCTATCCTGAGGGAACAACTTATGCCAGATTTGCTCCTAATTTAAACTGAGGGAACTTACCCAAAAACACTTTATCCGGTCACACACAGTGTAGCCCCTACTGAGTGAGCATGCTATTATGAGAAAGCAAACTGATATAAATATAGCGCAGTGACAGTATACACTCCACAGTTATTTCCTCTGCGAAACAGAGAAGAACGAAGTGGGTAAGCTGCTCAGCCAGCTTTCTGCTAAGGCCACTGAAAACTGCATTGACGACATCAACAAAAATAATCAGTTAAAGACAAATCTGAGCAAATAATTCTCAAGCAACATTTCAAACCGAGGAGTCTGACCTCCTCTCAAGCATTCACAAGCCTCAGAAGACATGGACACTTCCACCAGCTTCTTCTCCATTTATATTCATTCACAGAAGAGATTTTTTTCCTGTAATTTTTTCCTGTTAGCTTTTATTTTTACTGGCCAAATTGATTGCAAGTTGATGTGAGAATTAATCATCCCATATCTGAAAACCTACTTGTGATGGATAGGCTGGAACACGACAGATATTAAACTTCACTGTTGGTATGGCTGATTGGTTGGGTGCACATACACATGCACTCTTCTGCAACCCATAATTCACATGTAGAAATTCAAATTAGGATTTTCATAGCTAAAGCCAATAAAACAAACAACCCCAAAATGCTTGTTGTTGGTTTTTGGGTTTTTTTTATACTCAACATGCAGGAAGAAACATGGTGACAAGCATATGTCTGAAGAAAAAATAATGAAGCAGCATATAGTAAGCAGAAATCATTTTCTGGCCCTATTTTCCCAGCTACAGTTGAACTGCCAACGTTAAAGAAGTTATTTTAGCATATAAGATGAATGTATCTCAGGAACAAAAAGAATCACTTTTCCTAATCCTCCTCTCACGCACCCGCCTCAATCCTGTTCTCAGACATGAAGCATTGCTTAAAAAATGCCCATGGAACAGACTGAAAGAAGTTGCTGCTTCTCGATATCGTTATTTATAATAGATAATCTTAGAATCACTCTTAATTCCAGCTCATCATTTATGGCGTTGGCAAAGTTGCTGCTGTGAATTTAGTCTCATTATTCACCTTTGGGTTGTACAGTATCTTGTATTTTATATATCATCCTGTTTTATCCAATGGATCCCTCACAAGTACTTACAGAAGCAAGTGAAGGTGAGTAATGATCCAAGAACAAAGCTAAATGCTGAAATACTGTGATTTTACGGCCAGTCACAGGAAAACTTGGAGACACTTTTAATATGCAGAAGAAGTAGCAGTACATCACAGAATGCCATAGCATGCTATAATAGTTAGTCTTTCCCTCAGCCCTCTGTGCTGTCCCAAGACACTCAACACCACTCAGAAAGTCAGGCAGGACTGTTGAGCTTTGCTGTCTATGGTCGTACCCCAGCTCTGTTCAGTTATGCTTGGGAACTTGATAAAAGTATTTTTGCCAAAAAAATAACTACTAATGGGATCATCCACTCAGTTGACAGTCAAGACAAAAACAGGGATGATAGGACGAGCGCACAAGAGTTTTAGTTACTAGACACTACACTAACAAGTGCAGAAGGATCGCATTAATGGCATCACACACTTCACTGATTTATTGCATTGGAGCCATTCATCTAGTTTCAAGTCCTGCAGAAAGGAGAATGAGCCAAGCTGGTCAGTTTTTTCAGAAGCCAAGTTAACCCACAACATCCTCTTTAAACCTGCTGGAGAGGAGACTACTGTTGAAACCCGTAAGCACTTTACCGCAATAACAGAGATGTTTCATTGGGTAATTGAAGCCAAATTTCATATCTTACCCATCTGGAAGAATTTTTGCAACACGATCACCAGAATCATGAGTTCTACTTCAGGCTCACCGTATCTCAAAATAGACCTCACCAGCTTCCGCATCCCATTCCGTTACAGGGATCACATTATCTGGGGTCCTGCCACAGCATGCTGGGTCACAGCACCTACTCCGTAACAGGCACTTCCTTGCTAATATATGATGGTGGGAGTGACAAGACATGTGTCTCCTCTCAGTCTGCTTATACTGCAATAATCACTCGCACACAGACAAATGCTTTGGGACAGGAAAGGAACTACAGTATTTTGGGGTGTGTGGGGGAATCATCATCACACATGCCTCTTGGAAATTCTCAAAAACTCAAAACCATAAGGTAAAACTCAACTGTAAGCAACCAATATCAGAATTTAAAGCAATCTAGGCAAAAGCAATAGAAGGAGTGAGCATCCTTCTAATAATCCAGTAAAAATCACCATGGTTGTCAACCTTTACCATTGCTACAACAAAAGCAAATATCCCTGTTTCCCTGCTGCTTACAACTGCTTGGTGTAGAGACCCATGCCAAGTTACCTTCACAAGCACAGCAGGACATGAAGAGGCCTCAAGACATCCCTCCCACTGGCATCAAACAGGTAAGACAAGAGCGAGACGCCAGCCTGCCGCAAGGAAAGCCTTCAGTCAGAAGTTCAGAGAGCCTTACCTATGTACAGGGAGGAATCTTTCCGCCTCACGTGGTCATCAATGTAGGAAACTCCCAGGGGCTGGACAGGAGTAGCACCAATGCCCAGGAGGACCTGTGCTCCAATGAGCAGCAAATACATCATGTTGGTAGCAGTCCTATTCCTGCAGATAAGGTCCGGGTCTGGTCCCTCATCACTGGTGGACCCGTTGGCAGCACACACATCCCTCCCTTCAGCCCCCCAGCGTATTTCTCCTGATTCATATTCATACTGGTGGGTGAGAAATTCAGGCAACGCGGAAAGGAGGGCACCCAAGGCCATGACTATCCCTCCGCATCCTATCAAGCGTGGCCGGTGTCCTCGGGCTCCGAAGTAGCTCACGAAGAGGATGAGGGCCAGGTTGCCAATCTCGAAGCTGCTGGCAATGACACCCACGTCAGCACTCTGGAGGTTGAATCGCCGCTCCAAGGTGGTTAAAACACTCACCTACAACAAACAAATTCAGAGAAAATTACTGAAAGGGAATATATTCTGCCTTCTGTCCTCCCCATATGTCCTGGTGAAGCATAAGTTTCCTTGACTTTCCCTTGGAGCCAAAAACCTACACATCAAGGACATCCAAATCACAGTCTTGTAGGAGTTGACCTCCAAGCATGATCTGACTATTCAAATACAGCCACATCAGAAGGTCCTAATACCAAGTGACATTTCACAGCCTACCACCTGTCTGAGCACATGTTCATTTCCAAATTCCTGCATACATCAATGTATATTTTGGGTGCCCGCAGAGACCCATGATTCCACAATTGGTTCGCCTCTCTTTGGGCTCCCCTTCTATTTGAATGCACAACCTTCACGGTGCAAATGCTGGCCCACAAAAATCAAGGCTCAAAGCACACCAAGCCTCACATCATGCCGGGCACCCAATCTTTCTCTTGGAATGAATCGCAGTTAGCAAGCAGCAGAAAACCTTGCAGATATTTGGCTCGTACATCAGCATAAGACCATCAAGTCAGTCAGAGACAGTGATGCACAAATACGCAATTTGGCCAGCACAGAAGGCTTCTATTAAAGTACATAAATAAAATACTGATCAAAGGGTTTAAACTGTTTGTGGATTACTTAATGACTGGGATTGTCACTTACAGAATAGTTTGGAGAAGACAGGCCAATTAAGGTTTACATAGAAGATTTAAATCCGCCATGAAGAAGGGAAGATTTAACAAACACTGGTTATTTAACACAAGGAGAGAAGCACATGAATAGTCTTCAAATATTTAACATTGCTGTGAAAAGGAAAGACCTGTTCTTTGTATTCACAATGGGCAGGACAAGAAGTGAGAGGTTTAAACTGCAGCAGAGGCGATTTAGGTTAAATACAAGGTGGGGAGAAACTAGACTTTTGCTGGTAAGGATTGTGAAGCACTGAAACATGCTGCCTGGGGAGGCTGCAGAGGTCTTTAAAAAAAGCAGAGACCAGCATCTGTCAGGAAAGACACAGGTATGACTGATCTTGCCATAGGGCAGGAAAACGAACCAGATGATCTTGTGAGAGCTCTTCCAGTCTTGATTACATGGTGCAATGAAACACAATATGGATTTTCTTCAACAGTCACAGCCCCAATCAGAATACGAAGATGAATCATTAGGTACCTCACTTGCTGTCATCCTTGCTCAAGGGAGAAAACGCAGGGCGTTGTCACGTCTATAGCAGTGTCCCCCTTATAAGGGGGAAAAAATAACAAAAGAAATCCTGAACGTGTCACATAAATGCCAAAAACTTTTACCTTGGATAAGAGACTATCTTGTTTCTCAGATTGCAAAAGATGAAAGTATTTTAGGTTGTCCTAAACCAGGCAGGTTTCTCTACTCAAAAAAATTGTGATAAAGACCTCAGAGCAGAAGGTAGCCCCTGGATAGAATAAAAATAGCCTCCCACTGGAGGCACTGAAAATCTTTGCTGATAAACCTCACGAAGCAGGACCCAGTCTGACCGACTTTAAAGTATTGTGACAGCAGCTCTTCTCCGGGGGCAGTTAGCCTCTGCTAGGGTACACCAGGGCACAGTTGGACAAAGACAGCCCCATCGGCAACAAAATGGAAAAATGGAAACAACCCACTTCTGCTGCTTTGCATAAGCAAAAGCTCCCAAACCTGACCCTGATAAGTGTCCAAGTCAGATCTCCAAAATTAGACTGCTTTCACAGTTCTTGAAAATTCAGCCTTCATCCCATACAGGCAGTTATCATTTTATACCGCTGCTGTAATCCTTCCCTACTAAAGAGCCAAGAACTGAGCAAGACAAAAAAAAACAACCACCCAACCCTAAAAATCAAACCCTGTGACTGGAGACAATGCAATAGCAGTAATTCTTCCCCGTGCCAAAGCCAAGTGAAGATGTCCATGTCAGAAGGAGAGGTGACCACCACTTCATCTGAAACAGGGGGTGCGGGTACCTGTTGGGATGAAAAGGCTCGGTGATTCACTGGGGAAATGGTGTCCTCTTGTGCGAGGGCACAGCACAGCCTGTCCCTGCTCCAACGACCTCAGCCACACTGCTCGGTGAGCAGCACACAAGCACATATCTAAGAGCAGTGTCAGTGTTCCCAATGCCCAAGGGCAACAGAGCTGAGCAGATGGGGACAAATACTTTTGGTACTAGAAAACACTAGGTTGGTATTTTCAGAGCAAGGTACACCAAGGTGGAGGGACACGGACAAACATCCCAGCGCCCCAAGCTGCCCCACCGGGCACTCACACGATGGAGCAACATTTATCATCCACAACACAGGACCGGTTTTACTGCAAGGTGTGATCTAACGGGGCTGGTGCAGTCAGACTGGTAGGACTCCAGACTCCAACACCAACAAACTCTAAGCGATGCAAAGCCCTTGCTACGGGAGCCTTCCTTCATACTACCACCTCCAGCACGTCCCTGAGGAATGTGGCTATAGTTGAGGTTTCATGAATACCAATTTTGGCAGAATGGGGAATTTCTCCAAGATGAGTATATAACTCTGAGCATGCAAAATCATGTCCATGGTGCTCATTGCTGAGCTGTACCTAGATAGGAAACTCATAATTACTCATTACAGCTGTGTAAACTGAGGCACAGAGAGCCAAATATTAATGAGAGAAGTACAGACAACAAAATTAATTTATGATGGAATAATTTAGGCTGGAAGATTGAAAGCCAACAGAAGTGATTTCCCAAGGCCAACTGGTATTAACTAGCTTTGGAAGTCTCTCCCACGTTTCAACCTGACTGCCGAATTTTAGGCATATACAAGTGGCTAGAAAGCAGGATGGCATTTAGAAACACTTGGGTGCCACACCTTAAAAAGGCCAGATTTTTAACAGCTGGACTTCAAATAAAAAACTGTATCATTTCTAAGTGCAATATATAGGGACAGTAAATTAATGACAAACCTGGCAATTAAACCCAGAAATCCCAGTTCTCATTCTGCTTTCATTTCAGTGGGACTTTAGTTGTTCTTTTCTTTTTGTAAAAAGCTAAACCACTCATAACAGGAAAACAGAGTCTCACCATCCCCTAACAGTTTCTTGCTTCATTTTGGTGAAGAGGCTGAAACAAAAGGAGGAGGACAGAACACAAATCCCAACCCTCCTGATAGAAGCAGGCAGGAGCTCTTATTCCTCTGGCCGGACCGCACCGCATTTCCCAGCCTGCTCCTTCTGGCTGTAGTGTTGCCACCCAGTGCTATCAATCAGCCCTGTTGTTGTTAAGTGGGGTAGGGGGTGCAGGGCTGGGGTGGGCAGCACACCGAACGAACAAAACTATCACATCAGCCCTCAGCATCCAGAGGAAAACAGCGTCTGAGTACAAAGCGCTGACACCAGCGTCAACAGATCAGCCTCCAAAACACTGACAGTCATGGGGAAGGGGGATGGGGGGGGTGTGGAAATCCCAAAATAAAAATAGGGCTGAGAAATAAACTGTCTACGTGCAGATTTTTAGCCAGAGAACACCAGGAACGCAACTGCATTACATCCAGGGTGGCTGCAGCCCAGACAGCACAGCCCAAATTCTCGCTTTGACATTGGCTGTGACCTTAAATACGCAGGCCGACGACAAAATCGGCATTAGCACAGCCGAGATGTTACCTGCATTTATTCAAAACAAACCTCTGCCCGCAGCCAGAATCATTCTCCCACCCTCCTCTACACCTCACCTTTACGGGGCTTGCTGCCTATACGGTGTAACCTGACTAAATACTTGCAGTTTGCATGTGGGATGCTCCCGGTGCCCTTGTAACTTCAATAAAAGAACACTGTACTGCCCGTATTTCCTTTCACAAGCCTGTTCCCCAGCAGATAAGCCATCGCCGCTCCTAGACGCTAGCGCTATTTATTGAGTGTTACATAAAATGTTGCAAAAGACACGACAGCTCCCTGTAAAATACTGATGTCACATGAAAAGGCTGCAAGGATTATAAAGAGTCCCTGTGTGCTGAGACCAGGTGGAGCATCCAGGAGCGTAGCCCACGTGGACGTTGGTTTAACAGCAGGGACGTGGGGAATGGAGCGGTGCGACAGCACAGCAGCTTCAGATGGACAACCTCCTGCTAAAACACAGCGGGAAGCACCGGGAGCCCAGGTTATGAGCTACGAAGCTGCTATTTCCCGGCTCCTGTCAATTTGCACAGCTGTTTTGCCCGGGATGGAAAGAATAGATTAAGAGGACATTCAGTCAAAAAAGCTTCTAACTTAAGATGAAAACAGTTACCAGGAAGCTATTACCAGAAAACAGTACAATTCATGCAGACAAGATAATGGGCCGAGTGGCTAGGAATGAGATGCACGTGGTTCTATCCCAAAAAGTTAGTGGTATGTAACCACCCACTGGACCACACAAGCCCAGAGGAGGCCGGAGAGGACAGAGGCAGAGACAGTGCTCTAATCGCGGCAAACGCCAGTGCCCGCAACGCTGGGAACAGTTTTGTACGGGTATGCACCTGTGCTCAAGACAGCTGGCTCTACCTTGCCTGCTACTCTTACGTCCTCATGTCTGTCCTGCAGATCAGCTCTCCGCAGGTCATTGAGGTTCTGACCGTAAAAGTACTTTAGCTGCAGCACTGTACGCAGCCCCCAATCGCGTCAGCCCCGTTGCCTTTTTCCATGTCGCAAGGCCTCCACCACCCCCTTTGATAGGAACTGCCTTTCCATCTCTACCTGCCTCCTCTGTCTCCAGAGGGATTCCCATTTCACCCACGCCAGACATCTCCCCTACACTTTTTAAGAGCAGCTCCACTATGATTTAGCTATCACAGAGATCAACAGGACCGTGTGGCTGGTGTTCCTCCACAAGTTCATGCTTCTCCGGAGTAAGTCTACACCAGATTGCTCAACTGGACTACCGAAAACTAAGTCAGGTTGGGCATCTGCGCACCTTGCTCACGCAGAAAGCAGGCTCGGGGATGTAGAAAGGCCACGTAACCCAGCCTTATGCCTTTTTGTGGACACAC